GAGGATTTTTGCAAAATAACGAGGAAAATTCGTGATGAGTGCGAGTTTTTACGCTTTCCAAAGCCATAACTCCGTTCAAACTCATGCAATCTGGAAAGTTAATACGTCATCATAAACTAGAAGATTTGCTCTTTCTAGAGGCAACTAAAACTGCTAAATACGTTCACTATTAAAAAATGGCCACGTTGAGGATTTTTGCCCGAGTACCGCCGAAAGGTACTTTTTCGCTACATTAGCACTAACACTTTTGCATTTACCACCTGGAGCTTCTCATAAATGAGTGAAAGACTTTTGAACAGCCTATGACCAATATCAGCTACAACAACGGATCAGCAGGGTCAACAGTCGTCTTATCGACAGTTATAACGAGGACTTGAATGTGTGACTCATTTCATTTTGGCTAAGAGCTCAGAAAACTAATAATGAAATCTTGCACTACATAGAAGAGCTGTGGAAAACAGATTTGACATAATAACAAGATTGTTTTCAGAAACACTCAACGGTTTAAACAAGAACTAAATCCAACGAAAATCAAATTTCTCGGAATTTTACCTGCGAAGTACTGCAAGTCTTCGGGTTCATCGGCTATGGTGGCTCCGTCACAAAGTCTCGAGACATAAATGGCTATGGATTCATGATTTTCAAACAGAGTATTGTCTAGAGCGAATTGTCCGTCTGCGTTCGATTGCGTGTCATTCACGTATATGACAAACTCCTCGAGAACCTAGTGCGATGCTCTGTCAATCAATATTATAAAAATTCAATCGGAATATAAAAAAACTCAGCAAAATGAAAAAAGCACAGACGTTATTTTCAAATGAACTCGAAAAAAAAGACAAGAAGCGGAAACGCACATTTTTCGGCTTCTTTTCTGAAGCTGTACCTTCCTCTTGAGTTTCGTTGCTGAAAATGTGAGTTATTGATTGTGTAATGACAACATGGATACATTCATTCAAGTTGATGTTTCCAATGATCAGCCAAGCATCCGAATTGTATTTGAAATTGGGCAGAGTAACAAAAAATCGCAGGGACTTTACAAGCATTCGGCTAGAAAAATGAAAAAAAAACAACAAAGTATGCTTTTTCACCGAAAGAGATCCTGGAGTGTGAGGGAAACTTTGGCCCCCAGTCGAGTTCCCTAACCGGATCTCTTGCTTTCCGAGCAATTGTGTTACCAGTCAGGGTTGGTCCTATCGTTGGAGACTTTTTGCAAAATTTTAAGACCCCCCTCCTTCATGAAAAAGTTTTATACGACCCCTTTTCACACCTTCTTTTTTCCCTCAAAATCACCGTCGAGCAGGGAGGGGGGTTGAGGGGGGTAACTATACTAGGTAATTGTCCCTACGTAGGAGACCCTGTTACCAGTCACACCACGGGAGCACCATTTCACCACAGCTCAG